TTTATTTGCAGTTGTATTTTTAAAATAAGTTTTGCCTGCTATAGATTTAAAAATGAAACTTTGGGAGAATACTTGTGTTTTGACTTTTATAATGTGAGCTAGTATATATTTTTGTCTGGTAATTTATGACTGCAGTTCAGATTGCAGATGATATACATTGGCCTTTTATTTCTGTGCTTATCTATGCTTATTTCTCTACTTGGCTCTAGAAATAGGCAAAATGCAGATTTGTCATAGAATCCCTTGGCATATTTGCTCGAGCCAAAAAATGCTAAGTGGAAAGACACTGATGGATCAGAGAAGAAACCTGTAGTTGAATATTTGAGCCCTCAAACTGATTTCTCTCTAGCAGGATATATAAAATAAGAATAATATTGCTTGAGCTTACCCAGTTTACATAGGAAGATATTTACTATTATTTTAATAAGGTGGATGTAACCTACAAATGGATAAACTTTCTTAAACTGCAGGTGACATGCTGCGTCTACGGACTGTCTTAGAAGCAATTCAGAAGAACATCCATTCCTCTTCCTTGATCTTCAAACTGGCTCAGGATGCTTTTAAGATTGCCACACCTGCTGATAGTAATGCTGACACCACACTACTTAATGTGGCACTGGAGTTGGGGCTACAAGTAAGGATATTAATAATCATCAGGAAAAATGAATAATTTTCAAATCTTTAGAGTAAGTTGGAAGCCTTGAAGGTTAATGAAATGTCCATATTAGCCAAAGAAAAAGCCTGCTGAGTTGTGCTCTTAAGCGCTAATCCTGCTCTCTTACAGGATTTCGGGCATACTGGCCATTTAAATCAGGGATCCCCAACTCCTGGGCTGCGGCCCAGTACCAGGCCACAGTCCATTCGGAACCAGGCTGCACAAGCAGCAGACAATCATGTGCAAAGCCCATTTGTGTGAGCAGTGTTCATTCATGCCCACTCTTTGTGCAAATGGCGCCTGCCACTCACACAGAAGCATCCACTCTCCTGCCCTGCCGCTCCCACTGGTCCACAAAACCAGAAACATTGGAGGACCTCTGATTTGAATAATTAAACCACCACACATTTCTCAACTGAAAAATTCAGAATGGGACTTTATGCTTCCCACGTGGCATCCAATCTAGGCAGCTTATGAAGCTAGTGTCAGGCCTGCAGTTATATTCCTTTTTAGGATCTTTGGCCTGCCGCACTCTCTTATTTCACTGTGCTGTTTCTTTAGTGTAATAGTTGGGAGGGGAGAATAGAAAGGAATAGAATTGTGGAATGTGTTGTTGTCATTCTTTTCTAGAAGCCAAGGTCATCTTTTGTCTCCGCACCTCTGCATCTGACCGGGTGGGTGGAAATACCAGCGTGGCTGAAGAAGATTGGACCATGTAATGGATTTATGGGTGTGGGGATAAGATCATGAACTTTCAACTGGGTGGAATCCCGGCGAG